ATCACAAAAAATTCCACAATAGAACAAATAACGCGCCTTAGGTAGTGAGCTCAACAAATGAGTTGAACTGTTTGTTAATACCATGAGGTTCTTTAGTTCCAAGGCGGAATATAGTTTCCTCCTCGATAAAGAGCCATTGCTCGAAACGTCTAGCTATTTTTAATAGTTATTTAGGACTTACGATTACCAAATATTTTCTTCTATATATCATATTTATCAGTCCGAGCAGCGTTTATTTATTTATAAAAAAATACCGGGTGTTGTTTTGTATGATTGTTTCAAGGATGACAGGAAATCTTGCTTATATTGCTGTGCAATCAGACTAAATCATTAAACCTTGTTCTTTATTAATCTGACAATAGTGTAATTTAGTATAGCAGCATTTTGATTCTTTGAAGAAGGTGAAAATACTGTGAGCCACTCACTGTAAAAAACTGTGATGATTGCATTGCAGCATATACTAATATTACATGTAAACAAACAGTATATTTAACATGAGTTGTATATGTCACATCTGATTCATATTGAACATGACAAGCCGTGTTAACAAATTAATTAGATGAATTTTTGTGACTTTCAAGAATTAGGGAAAATCCGTGATTTTTGCGAAATGTCTTCCAGACCACGTAACAAATGTATGTGATCTGACATCTCAAGCAAAGTCTATTTAATGATTTCGACATTCTACAGAGAACAACAATTTTGAGACTGCTTGGTTGATTACCAATGTGAAAATATCAGTGATTTAACATAAAATAATTTAGTGCACTTTTCATCTTGCATAAGTTTTGTTTGTATGTTTGTTTGGTCTTACCTCCTTGAACTCCTTTTATGGCTGTAGTCTTCCCAGCATTGTCCAGACCAACAAGACATAATGTTATTTTCCTACAGTAAATACAAAACAATTTATTGCAACATGTAAAGCAAAACTGTTCTAACATAAAAAATAATCTGCATTTTTCATGACAGAGTTGCACAAACAATTGCCAAAACTTTTGATTTTGCTCAAACAATATCTATAATCGTTTACAATAGAACAGTTTAGCTGAACATAAGGATATCATCAAAATGGCTCGGCAAGAGTTAATAATATCTTGATTATAATTCCATATGTGTACATGTTAACCCGGGGGTCCAACTTAAAGAATGATCTGGTACGCATGTCTGTGAAAGAAAACGCGTTTAAAGGGTGTTTTTTTAAAGAAAAGCATGTTAACGCGTGTAACACGTTTAGGGTTACCATTTCAGTCAAAATAGACAAAAAGGGTGTCTTTTCCGGTATTGTCAACGTGATAAGGGTGGTTTTTCTTTAAATGAATTTATCGTTTTTTTTATTGCTTTAAGGAATTCAATTATCGCAAAAACGAGGAAAACGTCCGCCCGCCTGGTTAACGACCCTTGATCACGAGCGATCACGGCATATGACCAACCCATGCTTACACTGAATGGTTAGAAAGCTCAAATATCGCTAGATCAGGCGCGAGTTCAAGGTGCGTGATCTTTTAGCTTTTTAACAGTGAAAAGGGTACGAAATTTTGACCTTTTAAAACGTGTTTAGGGTAATTTTGAAAACCCTTTTCACAGACATGGGTTCCAGGTATTTCCACAAGTCAGACCCCTGGTATGTTAACCTTTTCACCACCCGTTCCCTCTTTTCATCACAAATTCACAAAATAGTTCTGTTTATAGTCTGCACTTTTCTTCAGAAAATTGACTAAAATTTAATGTAAAGGAAAGTGCAGATAAATCTGGGCGAAGAAGTCTAGTGGTGAAAAGAAATAGGCAGACAAAATTCACTCACTATTCATTTATTTTTGTCACCTATAGTATATATCAAAAAACTACACAAAAAGTGTATTTGAAGCGAAAGATTTGTTCACCTAAATGCTGCATACTGGCCAGTATTGTGGGTGTCAGCCCTTTGTGCATAACAAGTGACACAATGTATGTGCTGAGGTCAGCTCCACAGGGAAATACTATGTGTCCATATTATTTGACCCCCCCCCCAAACACTCATACTTCAGAGCACAGGGCTACCCCCGGCCTCAGCCCACCGGGGGCCCTTATATTTTGATGGGTTGTACACCCCAATTAAACACTATTGTTTGCCCAAATCATGTTGTTGTAAAACTGATTGTGGAGTCAATCAGGGTTCACAAACACATTCGAAAAACATTGGCGTCAAAAGACATTATTTAATAATACGTGACTTACTTGGGAGGTTCTCGACGCTCTTTAATCCAGACGAAACAATTCCCCATCATACTAAACATATCTACCACTGAAAGTTAATTGAGAAAAAGCTCTCCTCGTAGAGATCAACATAAAGAAGCAGCAGAGAGGTTACCGGTACGACATATATTCTCCTGACAAGGCAGTCCGTTGGTAGCCAAAGTAAAATTTGATAGAAAATAGGTCCAGATGTCAGATGGAACGGAAATAAGTACTCGTAGAGATGGTCGAGCGTTCGAATCGTAGATGCCGGTTGCACTGTGTACGAGAATACGATCGTTCAAAAACACTGTTTGTTGAACTGCTATGACAAATCGGGATTATCCTCAGTGACAATTCCAACAAGCCTTTGACTTGAAATGCTAAAAACGTTGATTTACTTAAGAGTCCTACAGACTAATGCACTTCCCGAACATCGAATGTCAGAGCACCGCCATGTTGGTTGCTGTTTGCAATCGAACAACATTGAATGACGCATGGTCACGTGACATATGTTTTGTTGTCTTGGAGACTCGAAGCGTCGGGATTCCAGTAAGCAAATAACACCGAATAAACGGCAAGGTAAAGACTATGTCTAATTATAGTAAATACGTACTGCGTGCGTGACTCGAACCGGCGCTCGCGTACGGCACCTAATCGCCTAGCTTCACGCCACTACACGTCTTCCCCTCGGCCACCGGGCATCCCCAAAAAAGGATGCTTAATAACCGAGCTTATTACGTGCAGAGAACGTGAAACCCGTCCACGCGATACGCGCCACACAGCATGGCCAGAATGCGGCAAAGGCCTTCAGATCTGGCTGTAGTAGGATGGTGAAAGTAACGGTACAGCATTTTAACAGTGAATAAGTACTGAGAAATAATTTTTAAACTCATAGTTGCTGTCGACATAGGAAGTAAAGTAAGCAAATAACACCGAATAAACGGCAAGGTAAAGACTATGTCTAATTATAGTAAATACGTACTGCGTGCGTGACTCGAACCGGCGCTCGCGTACGGCACCTAATCGCCTAGCTTCACGCCACTACACGTCTTCCCCTCGGCCACCGGGATTCCAGTTCTATGTCTACTACGAGTTTACACGTTTTCAACCACAACTGACAACGTATTACCCAGTGGCGCTTGTTTCAAAATAATTCACAAACAAAATGAGAAAACATTTAAATGTTGACGTTGATTTTTCTACGAGTACAACCACAGGGAGCCCAGGAACTAATCAACTGTATGCACAGGGAGCCCAGGAACTATAACCAACTGTAATACGCAGTCTCTATGAGCGGGGGGGGGGTATC